GGTCAATCCGTCAGTCAAGATTGGGATTTGATTAAATAATGGATTGAACCCATGATACTTACTAACATGATGACTTACTTCTTATGTGTAAGTTTATATGTTTTTCTGGTATATTTGGGTAAAACAGAAAGCAAGCAGATATACCTCCATCACAATTACTATGACAATCCCTACTTTTAAAAAAAAGAAAGCAAGCAAAAATGTCCTAGTTGGAGACTAGACTCTTTAGTTCAGATACTATTTTATGATTACATTCTAATGAAGCAAAAAGTTCTGTATGGTATTTTGGTAGTTTGATGCTGAGTAACTAGTGGTTAAGATCATGGGCTCCAGAGTCAGATAGCCGGGCTTCATAGCCCCTTTTGTTTCATTCATTAGTTCTTTGACCTTTGTTAAGTTACTTAACTAAGTAACATTAGTGGGGTATTAATGTCTCTGATATCCATCCTGCTGTTGGGCTAGAACCCCTAAAGTTTGCATGACCCTCCATTTACAAGTAAAAAGGTTTATAGGAATGGGGGAGAACATGGGAGAACAGGGGCTTCATGGGAGTCCATTAAGTGACATAAGACAGTCTTTAATAAATCTATCCATAGCAAAGGTCAGGTGTGTCTACATTCATCAGAGTATATAAAGGGACAGCCAGTTCAGAAAAGTTAGGAATCCAATGTCTACTGCATCCTATGAGAACAAAAAACCTTCTAAGTTGACTTCTGGGAATTGGTCAGAGAAAGTCACAAATAACTTCCAACCTTTGAGCGGGAAAAAGATTTTCTATTTGTGTTACATCTTAGCCTAGGATCTGGGATTGATGCACTTAGTTCTGACAAAATTGATGTTTGGAGACATTTTGCCCCTTGTGTGCTACCACTGCACGCAAGTAGAGGAAATCAGTTTTTCAGGACTCTATCCGGGAAGCATAACAGAAGATCACATACATCTTGTAGAAGATGGTAGTCTCTAAGCAGAAACCAAGCGTCTCTAAGTGTCTTCATTGCCTATTGTGTCTGCGACAAACTACCACAAACTTAGTGGCTTAAAACGACACACATTTTTTATCATACAGCTCTCAAGGTCAGAATTCCGAGTGGGCTAAAGTCAAGGTATCAGCAGGGCTGAATTCCCTTCTGGGGGCTCTAAGAGGGAAGCTCTTTTCTTGCCTTTTCCAGTGTCTAGAGGTTACCTACATTCCTTGGCTTGAGGACCCCTTCCATTTTCAAAGCCGCAATGACCAGTTGAGCCTTTCTCATACTGCATTATCAACTTTAATTCCATCAGCTACCATAATTCCCCTTTGCCTGGCATTGTAACCGAATCACAAGTTTCAGGAATTAAGACACGACCATCCTTGGGAGGTCATTATTTGCCTACCACACTAAAGTTATGGTGAAGTAATTGTGAGAACTAAGAGGGCATGTCTGTCAACTCTGGGGTATAACTGTCCCAAGTGAATTCGAAAAGATAACTGTGAGCCTGAGTGCAAGGTTATACAAAAACTACTGAGCATAGATCTACAGCTCTAAATTACACTTCTGTCTCAGGGATTGGAGAGCTGGGAACCACAGGGAAGTGAGGAAACGCAATCTTGTTAATGGCCTTAAATCTTGTATAAAGCAAAATCCAAACTCATTCATCTTTTTAATGGAATGAGTAGGGTATTACAAAGACTAGTACGGTGGATAGCAAGTCCTTTCTGGAGATGTGTGGATATGACACACTGCAGTTATTTAATAGCTTCCTTTTTTAGTAGGTTTTGGACTAATTTCAAGAAGGGAATGCCCAGATAGAGACCATTAAGAGGTTAGCCAATTCTATGAGTCCCATATCTGAACTGTCTTTGGCCCAGAGGATCTTGAGGACAGATTCAAGATCTGAGATGGTCACAGAAGCATCAGGTAGATGGTAATCAATCTGTGCCATCATCAAATTATAGATTTGAGATTCTGTTCCTGGAAATCCCAGAAGGAGGTTTTCTCATCCACATTTAATAATAGTAGCCATTTACAAAGTGGATTTCATCCCTAAAGATTCAGTGGAGTAGATTACTAATCAGAAAAGTGTGTTGATAAGAGAGAGCGAAGAAAAACAGGACGTGTCTGAGAGATATTTAAAATTTCTACCACTGAGACATTTTTGGTTATTCTGAAGAAGGAATGATGGAAAGGTAGGAGGGTTTATGTTAGAGAATGTAGCCCCAGTGTCAATTAGGTACGAAACCTTCTGTTTTTACAATTGCATGGAAATGTCTCCATTTTCAGTTGCATGAAAATTTCTCCCTTTTATGTTATGGGCCGTTGTGGACAGACAAGAGCCGCTACTTTCACAGAGAGGTCATTTTGTCAAAGTTTGTTTTTTTCCTGTTTTGTTTCTATCTTTCTAAATAAGGCAGAGGAAGTGTTCTTCCAGAGCCCTTTTCCTTATGATATCGACAGATGTCTTTGTACAGAGGTGTCCTTATTCTTGGGTTTATCGAGTTGATCTAAAGAGCTATTCCGTTGGTGTTTTTTGTTGTTGTCTTATTCTTATCCCAAGGTCCTGGGAGTGGCCACGGAAGTTCTAAATTTTCTTGGTAAGACCCTGCCAGAGCTTCAAAGATATAATGCTATTGGCACCATAACTTTAAGCACATATTTAAATGCCAAAAACAAACAAGAAACAAATAACCAGCCCCCAAATATCTGAGTTTTCAGCACTAGGTTCCCTACTTCATCTGTGAAAACTCTGAGGAACAAATCAAATCAAAAAGCTTATAGTAAGGACAATGAAGAGAAAGAATAAAGACTTAGGTGGTGCTTCAACAGTAACAAAGTGGTGCTCTCACCAGGGACAGGACTTGCTCCAAGGAGGGGAGATGGCTAAGGGTCTCTGCTCTATCCTCAACGAAGTGGCCCAGGCTGAGCAGCACAGGGACCCGTCCTGATCCAATTTGTGGCATCAAAAACTGTGAAAGAAAAATCAACCAGAGCACTTACAGCATAAGCCTTTAGGTGAGAATGCTCTGCCTAAGAAGGAATAAAGGAGCACTCTACTTAGGGAAGGAGGGTGGACTATTTCACAGAGTTTAAGCAGGCGTGAGTCACTGAAGCTCATCTAGTCTTAGTCAAGGATTATTCTTTATGAGTAAAGTATTGTTCTTGCAGATTAGCCACCATCGTTTTGGGCAATTTGGGTTATATCAAGAGCTGTGGAGAGGAACAGTGAAGGTATAAAGTCACGTGCAAAACGAAGTGGGGAGGAACAGCTACTGTGGACAAGGACATGAAAGGACCACAGCAGAAAATTCTCCACCCTTCAGTGTCTTTCACAATTTCATCATCTATAAAATGGGAATATTTTTTCCTACCTCACAGGGTTTGTGTGAGGATTACGTATGACCAACTCTTAGTTATCTAGTGCTGTTATAACAGAAAAACCACAAGTGGGTGGCTTTAACAAACAGAAATGTATTTTCTCACAGTTCAGGGGGCTAGAAGTCCAAATTCAGGGCACCAGCTCTAGGGGAAGGCTCTCTCTCTCTCTTCCAGCTCTGGGGGAAGGTCCATGTCTCTTCCTTCTATTTCCTGATTCCTTGGAGATCTCCATGTGGGTTGGCTTCTATCTTCCCCCATCTCTGCTTGCTTAATCTACTCCTTTAATGTCTCTTAAGAGCTCGACTCAAAACACACCCTACGCTAATCCGGCCTCATTAACATAACAAAGACATCCCATTCCCAAATGGGATTATAACTACAGGCATAGAGGTTAGGATTTACAACACATATTTTGGGGGAACATAATTCAATCCGTAACACCAAGGTATACCAAAAAAAACAAAACCATCACCTTCGCATAGTATGCGTGCAATAAATGTTAGTAGTCATTAACATATGAGACATAGGTGAGTGGGAATTTCTTCAAAGCATATTTTTGTTAGTTTAAAACAGTGCTTCTCGTAGTAGCCAGTCTGAGAACAGCTTACCAGTCCACAACAAGATAACAAGTGTGCCCCAGAATGTAAATTAATGCGTGGCTTTCTTTATTGAAAAAGTTTTGCTGTAAAAAAGAAAAGGTTCAACTGAGTGAAGCACGGTGTATAATGATATAGTTGATTTTTATTCAGGAAGCTCCTTATACTACTGTACAGACTGTACTTCTAGCAGCAAAGGTTTAAAGAATGGATTTATCTTTGGTCTTGGGGAGAACTCTACAAAGGCATAACAACTTTGAATTTAGGTTTCCAAGCAGCTTACATTATTTTCTCCAGTACTGAGTAGCCATTTGTCTTAGAAATATTAAGGATGTCCCAGTTTCTATCTCTTTAACCTTGGGGTAGAAGGTCTAAAAGGCCTGATTTTAAGCTTACTCTACAATGGCAGGCCCATTGTCTATGCTTGAGATATGGCTCATACTTGATTTCTGCAAGTAGTCTTGTCTATGGCTAAATTCAGGCCAGAAGATGATGTGAAAGGAAAGTGGGAGTAACGACAATCGTGGAATTCAGCATCTACCATAGTCCAGAAGAAAACTAGTGAGCTGACTAGACTGTAGTGTTTTTACCTCCTCTGTAGTGTTTTAGTTAGGTTAGAGAAATTATAATCATAGGCAATATAAATGTATCAGCGGTTGGTTTCAGAATCCATTCCCATTTTCCAAAAAAAAAAAAAAAAATACACTAAATATAGAAAGGTATCCGTAGACAAATTATTCTGTGATGTCAGTTAATCCACATCACCAGACCTAATGTGTTTAGATTTTAGAGGAGAAGAAAGGAAATTGACAACATACCCTTAACTCTAAATTGGTATATGTATGTACACACATGTTTATATAAGTTTGACACACATACACACAAAAAAGAAATGAAACTGAATTGAGATTTTTGCAACTCCAGTATGACAATATTCTCTCTAGTAATTCTGTCATTCAGTTGGGATCTGCAAGATGATTATGATAAAATTTGGTTGTGAGTCACCGAAGGTTTTTAAACCCATGCAATGATTGCTGTTGTCCTAAATTGGCAGGTGAAGTATGCTGTCCAGATGAACAGCATGATCGAGTTTCTGTTGGCCTTGGTGACGCCTGCTGTGGCAGAATGCCCTACTCCACCGCAGGACATCAGACTTGCTGTGCGGGGAGGCTCCATGATGGCCACGGCCGACAGTGCTGTGGTGGACAGACTGTGAGCAAAGATTTAGAGTGCTGTGGCGGAGAAGAAGGCGGCGTGGTGTACGTTCGCCTTCCAGGTAAGGAGCCCTTGTCAACCTTGCCGTAGGTGGAGGAACTGACGAGCAGAGAGGGTGAGAAATGAGCCTTTGCTATAAAACCAATAAGTAATTAAACTCACTTTAATTATATGTAACGCAGCAATTGGGTACATACTGTATAACCAACACAAATCTAATCTCACATTTTTGATGTGCAGCTGATGCATTTCATAAACACTTACAGATCAAAATTAAAATCAAGTTCCCAGAGGAACTTGGAAAGTGTTATGTCCTAAAAAAAAAAAAAAAGAAAGAAAAAGCCACACATACAAGAATACAGTGGTTCTTGATCAGGATGATATTTCCTAGCAAATATTCACAGCAGACAAAATTATGATGATGATACCATATCATTATTCTTTAATTCCCCTATTCTGTACGAGCTATGAAATTAAAAAAAAAAAAATCAAACCCGTTGTCTTTGGGTCAATTCCAACTCATGGTGAGTGACCCCATCTGTTACAGCTATAATCTTTATGAAAGCAGATCACCAGGCCTTTCTTCTGTACGCTAGGTAGATTCAAACTACAAACATTTAGGTTAGTAGCTGACTGCAAATCATTTGGGCCACAACTACCACTAAATAGCAACCATTATTATTGATTGACCACTTACCATCTCTGATTGGCACTGTGCTGAATACTTTATAAGTATTATTTCAATTAATCTTTACAAAAATCTTACAAGATAGGTTCTATTATTATGCACATTTTATGAATAAGGAAACTGAAGAACAGAGATTAGAAACTTGCCTAAGATCACACGCTTAGTCAGATCTAGATTTCGTGGAGCCTGAAACTTATACAAATCTCTTTAAGAAAAGAATACTAATTATGAAAAGAAAATATAGAAATAAATGTTTGTTTAGACTGGGAAAATAAATTATGAAAATTACAAATTTAAAAACCTAGCAAATCCCATTAACATAAACGGTAGCATATTTGTATTGTATAACTCCTGACATCAACTCTGTAGTTTTTCCCTCAACGTTTGTAGCTTGTACACTTGATTACTTCTTCTTATGACAATGGTTTTGGACTGTCATTATCTAGAGAAAGAGCAGGAAGATCAGTCTTTCTTTCCACATGGTTAATCAAAAAAATGTTTTTTTTAATTTAGAGATTAGAAAAGTAGCTTTAGTTTTCACAACATTATTGTAATGTTATATAAATGTTTAGAATTATTGTCAGACTTGGAGAAATCTCTACCAAGTTTCTTTCTGTAAGATTTCAGGGCATTTCAGTAACTTGCTTTAAATATTCATGGAATCGAAAACATCATTAACAAGTTTTCATGAATATCCTTTTTGTATAACTGAATTTGACTTGTATGTTACCATAAATGGCAGATTTTGTATAAAATCAGCAAGAAATATATTTTTCCAAGGTATTTATGAGTTACTCCCATTCCAACTTGTATTAACAAACGATCAGTTGGCTTAAACATTTGCTTCAATTCTATAGCCATAATTTTCTTTATTAGTTTTCTGCTTTTGGTATTCTCTGAAATTCATTTTGTTCCAATTTTATTCTTGATGTCAGAATAATTTCAGTTGATTTCAATGTTCAAACTTATAGCTTTTATTATATATATGTCATTAATTTTTCTACCTGATCTTTCTTTAAAGCTTCCCTTTATATATATATAAATTAGGAGTCTATAATTTCTCACATTCTTTATCTTTCCAAATTACAGTTAAAATAACAGATTCAAGCTTTCACAACATTTTTATGGAAGTGATTAAAAACATGTAAATATAGCTCCTGAACCTGCATAAAATGTTTCCCCAACTCAACTTCCTCTTAGTTAGATTCCAGAAATGTCCATGGCCACTCACCCCAATCAATATGAGATCAAATAAGACAGAGGACAGCTTAGGGGTAAGCGGTCATGGTCTTAACACACTGTAGTTAAATATTATACTTTGCAAATTTTATGAAACCATATAACCATGTGTGCCTTTGAAGGGGTACATGCAAACAAAGAGCCCTGAAGTTCGAGTTTCATTAGCTTCGTGGTAAATCTATCCCCGCAACTAGTAAGTGTTGAAGCTCCAGCCCCAACCTGAGTATTACTTCAGGACACCGTAATATCTTGATGGAGCTCAACTATGAACTCTCTACTATCTCTTCATAATTTCTTCTCCTTCCAAAGAGAATTACCTATAATATAAGTAACAATTGTTCAAACTGAGTGTTATAGTACTATTGATAAATACCATGTTTTCATATATTTGAAACACATTCTTTTCTGTGCAAAGTCTGGTGAAAACCTTTAAGAAGGGTACTTCAGTAACAAAGCCAACCATCCAAATAATACAAGGGATCAACCTTAGTTGTGCCTGAGTCTTCTTCCTGAATCAAAGCGCTAGACTCTCAGTACTGTGATGGCTCTGAAATCGGTCAGAATGTTGTTGTTACCGTTGTTAAGTGCCGTCAAGATGGTTCCAACCCATAGTGACCCTATGCACAGCAGAAGGAAATACGTTAGTTATGATGACATGTCATTGATTTATTATTGCTGTTTCTAAATGGAACAATACATAGTTCAAAAATGTCTCAGTTTTACTTTCTAACAAAGGAAATATCAGCAGATATAACATATATAAACAAAAGCTCTTTGGGGTCCTCATTAATTTGTAAGAATTTCAAGGGGTCCTGAGACCAAAAAATTTGAGAACCACTGCCTTAAGGCATAGGAACCACGTCTATCCGAAAATCATAGCACTTAGGTGGTTATCCTGCTGAGAACCTCCTCCTCCTTTGGATAAAGTGACTAAAAATAGGTCTGTTAAAGACGAAGCACGAGGAGAGGGAGGAAAAAGGTTGCCTTCTTTATTCCTTAGTGGGTCAGAAAGAGCTGTAAGAGCATAATAATGTGTCTCATTTTAGTGTCTTTGTTTATTTGTAGCTCATTCCTTCATTCAATAGACATGTATTGTGTGGTGACTATATTCCAGATACCACTCTAGGTGCATGTGAATGTAAAAATGGCTAAGATTCCATTTTTATCCTCAAGAACTTACAATCTAGTGGAGGAAAAAGTACCAGTGAGGTTCTACGTAGGCCATCAGAGAGGGATGAACACATGCAGAGTTCTTAAGACTGGGAGATCACTCCAGTCAAGGTGATGAAGAAAGCTAAGTAAAGTCAAACCACTGGATCTGAACCTCAAAAATGGTAGGACTTTGAGAGGTGTGGTTGGAAGGAGGACATTCTAGGTAAAGGGAATAACTTTAGCTAACATGTGAAATTAGGGATCTGCAAAGTATGCCCAGGTGGTAGTGAGCAGTTGGATTTATTGGAGGTATATACCACATACAAGAAAATAGAGAGAGAAGCCTGTTCAGGCAAAAGGATTTGGACATTATTTAGTATTCAGGGAAGAGTCAATGCGATTACAGGAATTGTGATTTAAGACGATTAAACAGGTTCAGGCAGCAAAATGAATGTGAAGGAGAAGAAAAGAGAAGTCAGTGAAACTAGTTAGGACACTATTGTCAAAAAATAACACACACCTGGTCTAAGAAATGCAGAAGAGGTTACCGTCCACTAGAACAATGGTTCTTAATCATTTAGGGGCCATGGACCCCTTTTAGAATGTGTTCATTATGCACCCTCATCCTAAATAAAAGTACTTAGAATACGCACAAACATTTGCCTACCATTTCACACACTCTTAAAGTCCAAGTTTCAGAACCATGTCTTCGGTCTTCGTTTACTTCAATATGATGGTCCATGTTAGTCAAACATTTCTTAAGTAAATTGTGACATTCCTCAGCTGCGGGGGCAACAAAGATAGCGCTAGAGTTCTTCATGACATTCTGCAGCTCCCCTGACCCTATAACCATGATGGACTGAAGGAATGATATTTTTAAAAAGGAGAAAAAGATCTCTTTCTATTCTCTTGACCTTCCGGCAGGTTTCACTTGAAAATAGACAGGTTCCACATGTCTTTTTCCCTCTCAGCTGCCTCTCCCTCCTGTCGCCCCTAATGACTATGACCTCAGTGACCTTCCAGAATATCCATATGGCCCTTTTTCTCCTCAACCGAGCAACACCATACCCGCCGCACAAAGGTTTGCATCTCATAAGGCTGTTCCTAAGCCTGGCCTCTCTCCCTGCCTGGCATTGTGTGCCTGCCACAAGACCGGGCTGGCTCGTAAAACATCTCTTTATGTATTTTATTACTTAAACTCTTTTATTTGCCTGCAGGAGCCCTTTAACAAAATCACATTGAATTGACTTTCTCACACCAAATCAAATCTCCCTGGTCCCAGTTCAGTTGTCTTTGTCAATATGTATTTTATAAATGGAGTGAATTAACAGATGCTGTTGGAACAGAAGTGCTGGGGTAGCGTTTATGCTTCTAGTGCTCTCTCTGGGCAGATGAGTTGTGGAGAAGTGTTATACAGGTATCTCGGGATGAAAGTCATGCTCATCGTTTCAGTGGATATGTATTCTTAACCATTTTCTTTGAATATATTTTAAACTTCTTTATTACTCCTTTTTTTCTTTGTGTTTGCTTATATGGTTTTATCATTTATGCCATTAATCTTGGGTTGGACTTGATTGTATCCTTGGGTATTAAAAGATGAAAATTAAAGCCTTTCTATCATTCAGAGAGGACAGGATTTTCTGTTAGCCATGAGACACTGATCATGCTACACATTTGGAATGGATTGCCTTACTTCTAGTATAAATTTCACCACACAGCCTTTGATATGAAACTCTGGGTTGAGATTGCTTTGGAATAGAAGAGAGTTTCTACATCCTGGACTCTGCCTTCAGCAGAATGAACAACTACCATTGTTTTTTATGTAAGAATTTGGGAACTTTGTAAAACAAGAAGGAGAACCACATGAATCCATGGTTTAAGAGTTGATTGAAAGAACATTTCCTTGAAGATTTTCATGTTACATAGTGAGTTTTTGAAAAGTGTAGTGTATAGCTGCTAGAAAATACATTGTAATGATTTGGGGGGCATTTTTACTCTACCCTTCTTTCTCAGTTTTGCGGTGGTTGCCATAGAGACATCTACTGGCAAAGACAAGTATGCATTTCTTTTCTCTCATGCTTCTCCACCGATTTTATGAGTTTGCCCAAGAGAGATGAATCATAAATCTTTGTGAGTTTTTTGTTTTGATTTTTGTTTTTGTTTTTTACCGTTCTTCAAGGCCTGAATCATAATCCCTTGGCATAAAATGGGGTCGCAATGGCCAATTCCAGAGTTGCACGGTGATCTGTCATATTCTAGACTCTGTTTTTACCACTGCACTGTTTTTCTCTCCAAATAATTATTCATGGGTTTTGGTCTTCTTTTAGAAAAAGAGAGTACCAGTTTTGCGTATTTAACAATTTAGAGATTCATCAGACAGCCGTGTTTATAAATTCTTTTCTTTTTAGCTCTGAACATCAAATAAGTATTGCTAACATGTTTGAACTATTCCGAATAGTATGAGTAAAAAATTCTTTCCTTTATTATTTTCTCAGTTGTATTCGATGCAGTGGAAGCCATCCAAGGAAAGACAGTACATTCTGTGTGATCTGAAAAACAAACATCTAATAGTTCAGTGTGTGCTGTGTCGCTTTAATACCATCTGCATCTTGTTCAACAGGACTCTCCACCTTTGTACAAATTTGATGAAGAACCTCTGGAAGAATAGATCCATCCATCAATAATGCATGCCCTATTTTGTTTTTCCTTGGGCATATTTAAAGTTGTGACTTCTATGTGTCATAGTTCAAAAGTCAAGTGCTACATGTGATGAATTAGGTGGAGGTCAAAAGTTATTGCAGTGTAGGTTTAGAAGATTGTCCGCCTCAGAATTTGCAGCTCATTCATGCTGAAGTGATGCACTATGGGAATTACTACCAAACTCTGCTCTGCAACATCTGCTCTCCCTAAGTGAGTTAGTGCCCGTCAGACATCTTTATGTCAGAATATTGCAGTGATGGATGCAGTCTTCAGAAAATGCTGCATAAAAATCTGGTGTGCCGTTCTGGCCATTAAGTGAAATTACTATTTAAATTAAAGGCACTGTCACAGTTTATCTGTGCAAAGAATGAACGCTGATTAGGGTATTAAGTAATTAGCAATTTATCACACTGGAACAAGGTTGATAATCATTAAAAAAGTAATGGTTTACCAAAGAAACTAGAAAGGGAGTCACTTCTTGTTACGTGAGTGAAATCTTGGCTGAAAATTTTAATTTGCTTAAACAAAGATGAAGCTCTTTGTGAAAGACAGCATCCTCTTTTTCCTTTTTTCTTTTTTTTGTCGGCATGCAAAAACAGTTCATTATCAAAATTTTAGTTGACCTGTCAAAAATCCCTCAGAGCGATCAGATGCCTGATTAGGAGTTTCGAATTAGGTCAACGTCTGCATTTTGATTTTATCCTGAAAGCAGGGTGAAACTAGAAAGGAATTCGGGAGTGGAGGGGGAGAATGCATTCCATTCCCTGAAGAGCCAGTTTGCAGATTCTGATTGCTCTTTAAAATAGAAACAGGAATTGTTTAAGAAAGCTACTTGAGAACAAAAATGACAGCAAAGCATCCAAGGTTGTATTTAAACGTCTCATCTTGAAATAAAATGAAATCTGAAGCTGTGGATTTTTCATATACATACAAACAAAAACAAAAACCAAACCCACTGCCGTCGAGTCGATTCTGACTCATAGCAACCCTATAGGACAGAGTAGACCTGTCCCATAGGGTTTCCAAGGAATGGCTGGCAGATTCAAACTGCCGACCTTTTGGTTAGCAGCCAAGCTCTTAACCACTGCGCCACCAGGGCTCCGTATAAAAGTACATACACCCTCCCTAATCAAGACTCAGGTTACGGTGACAGCCCTGCTGTACGTATTTATTGGAGAGAACTTTTCCTGGGAAAGTGACAACGATGAAAATTCTTGCTAAAAACCCAAAGACAACAGCCAGTTAGGCCAGTTACTTTGAACGGTGATCACACTTACGTAAAAATGGCGCGTCAAAGCTCAGTTATAGTCAGTGTATTTCATGAACCACGAATGAAAATGGTAAAGGTATTAGAAGACAATATGTTTTTTAAAGTGGAAAAGCCAATGAGAGAGTTCTTTGGGCTAGTATCCGGATAAACATCTTTCTCAAGGCATGTGCCAGGCCAGTGCCTACTTTCAAGGAGGAGAAAAGGGCTTAACACGCGTCACTCTATTATTAGGGGTGTTTTTCGTAACGCAGGTGTTTGTACAGGACCAGATTAAACAAGTCAGGACCCCAGGATGCTTTGAATTTAAGGTTCTTTATGGTGTCAGCCAGGACGAACAATAAATAAACAAAATTCGAATTAAAATAAATCATTCATCATGTTGCGCTGCTATATAACTGAATATAAATTCTAATATGAGAGGGCCGTGACAAGGGTATAAGCCCCTTAATTTCTAGCTTAACTGACGCCAGTGTATTGTTCACTGATTCACGCTTTTATGTCTAAATGTCTGCTGTATATATTCTGTGACAGTGTATCTAAGTGACGTGAACACAGGCAGTTAAACTTAACTTGACAGGAGAAAAGAGTCTATTTGCTCCCAGAGGTACATGTATCTTTCGTCGGGATGTGGAGATCAATGATCTCCCCTACGGTCGTTCTACCTCTACCCCAACCTCACCCTTGTCTAGTGATAGTTCTAGAACACAAAACCCAAAGCAAACCTGTTGCCATCCAGTCAATTCCGACTCGTAGTGATGCTATGGGACAGAGTAGAACTGCCCTTGGGGTTTCCAAGGAGCGGATCGTGAATTCGAACTCCGACCTTTATAGTAGCCGAGTTCCAGAACACAGCGGAGCTCAAAAATAGTGGCTGATTGATTAACCTGATCAGTGAACGTCCTTAGCCAGTTTTGGATACCAAATGTATCTCATAAAGAAAGAATGGTTACCATTTCTACTGGTTTCACAAGAGGCAAATATTTGTACCCTACACAAAGGAGTCCTGGTGGTACAATGGTTAAGTGCTCAGCTGCTAACCGATAAGTTGGCAGGTCAAACCCACCCCGTTGCTCCATGGAAGAAAAATCTGGTGATCTGCTCCTGTAAAGACTACAGCCTAGAAAACCCTACGGAGCAGTTCCGTTCTGTCACGTGGTGTTCCTATAAGTCGAAATCCTCTCGACAGCACTTAACAACAACACACCAAACCCCCCAAAAACCAAACCCATTACCTCAAGTGGATTCCATAATGACTCTATAGTGACCTTATAGGACAGAATAGAACTGCACCATAGGGTTTCCAAAGCGGAAATCTTTACGGAAGCAGACTGCCATATCTTTTTCCTGTGGAGCAGCTGATGGATTCGAACCACTGACATTTCCATTAGCAGCCAAGTGCTTAACTACCGAGCCACCAGGGCTCTACCCGAACAACAAGCGTAGGCTAAAACTTACAAGGCTCCTCCTGCACAGTGTTCAGCTCTAGGCTGGTGTTACCTTTCCGTTCTGCCTGGCCTGTTATCCCCAGAGTGCTCAAGTGACCTCTCTCTCTCTCTCCCTGCCCCGCCTTGTGAATTTCTAGAACCTTCTATGAGACTCTACAGTCGAACTAACCTTCTTTTGCAACCAGATGTTATCATCACAAAATGGACAGGCCATTTTTATGACAAAAATCAGATCTTTTTTCTGGTGCATGGGAGAAGCTTGGCTCAGGAGATCGATTGCGGAACACTTCTGTGTTTTTTTCCTAATTAATGTCGGGTGCTTTTGGTAAGATGGACCCCTCGCTGCACAGTGAAATCAGGTTTGTCAGGAAACTCTACCTTAAGTATTGCACCGTTTCAGCAGCTGCCTGAGTCTGACACGTTTATACCAAACTTTACAGCGGCCTCAGTTTTCTTCCCTTTTTTCAAATTTCATGTTCGTGTATAACATTGTATTGTTGCAGGAATGTTCTGCTGTGGGCAGGATTATGTGAATATGTCAGATACTGTATGCTGCTCAGCTTCCAGTGGACAGTCTAAAGCACATGTTAAAAAGAATGATCCAGCCCCAGTAAAATGCTGTGACACCCAGCTCATACCAGAGAGCCAGAAATGCTGTAATGGAGTCGGATATAATCCTTTGAAATACGTTTGCTCTGACAAGATTTCAGCTGGAATGATGATGAAGGTAATCGATAGAAAGCCTCTCAGAGGCACTGATTTGACAATGGAAAGAGAAATAGATTGTTCATAACTATTTTTCTAAAATAGGAATATAAAAACTCCTGTGTGCATTATCCATTTCCACATTATATCCACATTAATACCGAATAAGCTTGCTATGATTGATGTTATTGCAATGAATTCTAAAGGAATTAATAATGATTAGCTGTTCTCAGGAAACTATACCCAGCACTTCAGATTAGCACAGGAGCTGAACATCAGTGTGCCGGAAGATCGAGCACAAATACTCCGGGGCCTCTGCATGAATGCAATTTCATGTCACGGGGTGCTATGGAGGGAGACGGAGGGAAAATCCGCCTTCTTCCCTCTAGCCCCGCTAACCATAACCCACTTTCCTGTGATGGAGACCTTAGTTACAGCAAATTCACTTAGTTGTGTTTATATCACATTCCTTGGGGGCAGTGCAAGATGAGTAAATGTCTCCGTCAACCGCCAAAGTGAAGAGGTCCGTGGGTGAATCACTTATGTTTATATGCTGTGATGCTTCACCTGTAACCACGTCATGTTTGTTAGCATGATACTTGACCCAGGACTCCAGAGATATACCGTTGTAAGGAAAGGATCCTACCATGTTCTGTAATAATTTACCATCAGGAGATGGCCGAAAATGGGGATCTTGGTGCAGAGTGAGGTAACTACACAGTCCCTACGTGGGGATACATTTGGGGATGTAAAATAACTATGCGATTGCTAAGGCCCCAGCGAGCACCTTGTAATAATGGATTATTAAGGTAACATGTAAGATTGCTAAAGAGAATAGAGACTCTGGCAATGAACAGTAATATAAAATGTCCACCAAAATGGTTGTTTGTCTGTTACAATCCTTTTAAAAAATTGTCTAACTTGTTCACAACTTTAACCAGCCATTTCAATGAAAGAAACCTGACTGTTATTTCTCCTTCCAAAGTTTAAGTTTATTCGAGGCCAATTCTTTCATAAGTTTGGACTAGGACATTTTTCTTAATAAGTAGTACTGTTTGGACTCAGAAGCTGGTGATGTTGCAGGAACATGTCTTTAAGATGGCTAGTCAGGAAGCATCCATGTATATTTGAAAACAAAGCTAGAAGTCATGTTAGTTTCAGAAATGTCCCTGTTGCTCACCAGCTATTGGTTTCATAATTGTCCTCCCCTTGTTTGTTACCCAGGGAGTGGGTCGGGCATCTCATTTCGTTTTCAGTGAGATAAGAAAAACAAACAAATCTGCTGCCATTGAGTCCACTGAAACTTACAGCAACCCCATGTGTTAGAGAATAGAACTGCCCCATAGGATTTTCTTGGCTGTAATCTTTACAGAAGCAGAGCACCAGGCCTTTCTTCCACAGTGCCACTGAGTAGGTTCAAACCACCAACTTTTAGGCTAGTAGTTGAGCGGAAACCATTTGTGCCACCCAAGGGCCCAATTCAGTGATAGAGAGCCTCCATTATTTAAGGAAGGTGTTTAGGTTCTATCCACGATCTTTTGAATTGGCTTTGTGAAGGCCAGGCAATAGTCATAGTTCAAATTCATGTTTGAATTGTTATGGCCAGGAGAACATGTCTCCATGCTGAATCAAGTAATGTGGTATATGTAAAGCTCAATCTGTCAGTTCCATTTTGCTTTCTGAAGCCCTCTCTCCTGGAGACTTACATCTGCTCCAGTCTGGACTGTATCATTGTAGGATTTATGCAGTTTCCCTCGGCTGTCATCGCGGGGACCCCTTTCACCCCTTTCCTGTGTTGGTGTCCCTGCAGTCTGAACTCCAAGGCTTCCTGTTTCTTGAATTACTCCCTCCTTTTGGAGGATCCTCTTCCTGGGTAAAGGTGCAAGGAAAGTACATCTTCTGAGGGTTTACATGGTATCAAGAGCTCCCCAACGTCCGAACCTCCAATATCTACATCTTTGCCACTCCCTGCCTAACCACCAAGCCAAGGCTATATGTGGAGTTGTTTTCATTTTCGTTATGGCAGCATCCAACTTCAAAGGACAGAAGTATGTATTTGTGTTTAACTAGGGTTCACGAGACTATCCTAGGTAACAAATGTACCCAAGTATGTATTAGCTCTTCAGAAGGGATATTTTTTCCCCACATTACAATCCATGTGAGTCAGGAAGCTCTCCTCTTAGCAGGTCTCAGGAACACAGGCTGCGTCCATGATGTGGCATTGCCCACACAGTCTCCAGGTCACAGTAGAAGGAAGGGGAGTGGATAATGGTGTATTTATGGACCATACCTGCATGCAGAGTGCATCCTTTCTGCACACTGGTCACACTACGTGTCTGGTCGTGAGGCTCCTCCTATTGTGTTAAGCTTGAAAATCAAGGACTTCCAGGGAGAAAAGGCACAAATGGACATTGCTGAGCGCATAGCTTTGACTCTGCCACGTCCGTCTACATTCCAACTGTCCAAAATGTCTGAGCTGTCCTGCGTGTAGTTATCCTCGCCGCCCGTATCCCTGGTCTTTCAGTATTTAAACCATTTTTCACTGTCATTGGTTGGGCCTTGCACACCTTGGCAGAAAGCCCTGGTGACCTACTTCTGAAAAATCAGCCATTGAAAACCTTATGGAGGACAGTTCTTCACTGACACTCATGGGGTCACCGTGAGTCAGAATCTACTCAACAGCAACTGTTTGTTTGGTTTTATAATGGAAGTTCTACCATATTTTTCTGAAGCAGCTTTATTTTAACTACCTTTTTTGAGAATAATTTAACATTTTATGTGAGAGAGATCGACTGTAGATAAATTTTAAAAGCAAAATGTATTTTAAATGTGTTCTGCTACCTATATGAAGGAAAGGGGAAGTAGATCTCTGCTTTATAAGAATATTAGTTACATCTGCCGTAATTTGAGATGTTTAAGTTTTTAATTTTCTCAGATTAGAGCATACTGGGACATACTGATAACTACAAAAAGTCCAAAAATTCATCAGAGAAAAGCTTTATAAATATAAATGATTACAATGATAACAACACCTAAGGAAGTATTTAGATTTTCTAAAACTTGGATGAGGAATAACTTATGGTCCAAAATCCTTCATGGTTGTCAATTTCCTCTCAACACAGGAAGTGCAGCTTCTCAAATATCACCTTGTTTTTTATCTCTCAAACTCTGTTAGCGAAGTGTCAAAGTGAACAATAATAAAATAGTGACTATTTTTTTTTTTTGATGCATCTACTAAGGTGAAGGCTTTTATAGATGATTCACACAACAGACTACATGATAAATTTAATTTCTGTTTTCTCAATAAAGAAACTGAGGCTTTCAGGGGGTTTGATGGGAAGCCTGGGGGGCAGTGAGTTGAAGATAATGGTGATGGAATAATTTGGAAAGGGATAGTGAGGATGGCAGCACAACTGGAAGAATGTAATCAATGTCTCTGAATTGTACATGTAGAAATTTTTGAAATGGTGTGTCTTTGGCTATGTATACTTTCACCAAAAGATAGGTCCTCCAAGGTCGAGAAGGGAGAGTGTTGACATGTCATAGGGTTGTTAACTAATGTCATAAAACAATATGTGTACTGACTGTTTAATAAGAAACTATTTGTTCTGTAAACCTTCATCTAAAGTACAATAAAAAAAATTAAAAAGAAACAGAGGCTTTGAGAGCGTAAGTGACTTTTTCAAGGTCACAGAACAAGAAGGTTGCAAAACTGGGTTGTGAAACCAAATCTGTGTCATTTCAAAGTAACTGCTCTTGCTAGTACACAAACTATCTTCATTTCTTTTTGGGAATATTGAAATAGTCACTCATGAACTATGTGGAGAAAATTTCATTTGAAAATTATGAAAACCCACCCAACATAGTATGGAGCCCTGGTGGCACAGTGGTTAAAAGCTTGGCTGCTGTCCAACACCCATTCCTGATAAAAACTCTCAATAAAATAGGTATAGAAGGGAAATTTCTCAACATAATAAAGGGCATCTATGCAAAACCAAAGGCCAAC